AGGCCAATTCCTGAAAGGAATAGCTCCAAACCCTGAACTTACCTGTGGAGGAGGTTCAAATGGTCCAACATCATATTTTGGAATTTCAATTCCACTCTTTTGGCTTTACAGGTACCAGAAATCCTTATGGCAAGACCTAAGGAAAATGGAAAAAGGCCCGTATATCTCCAAGCGCTTGTTCATCTTCTTATGGACAAGTATTCTACCCCAATTCCATTAACTGCATTTTTTGATACTGGTGCTTCTTTATCCATTATGAAAAAAGATGTTTTGCCAGACCATTTTTGGACCTCCTATGAGAAAGAATTTACGGGAGCTGATGGGAAACCTTTTTACACAAATTTCATTACAAAAAATCCCATTACTCTTAAATTTTTCATTACAGCCAGAGGGATAAGATCAGAAAATTTTTTAAACCACCCATAATCTCATTATCTAACAGAAAATCTCTAAAAGTTCCTTCCTCCCCCTACCTATTATGATTCATGAAAGTGTTAAATACATTTACACAACTTTAACCAGTTTTAGTTTCTTATATACTCATAGAATATGTTCAAAATGTTTTTCACCACCTTCACCAATAAAAGATTTCACTCAAAAATTTCATCAGTCATAGAAAACTCTTTGCACAACACATAATCGTACTTCAATTCCTTTGCATCGAACCACTTTATCTCATAACTCTAATTCATTTCAAGCTTCCACCCTACACCTTATCTCTATCATCTTTCTTCCTTTCATGCTCAAATTTATATCTCTATATCTCTGTGCTAGATAAACCAGATAAGGACATCATGCTCATCTACTTAAAAGTTAAGATTACATAAAAATTTTGAAATGTATGCTTTTGCTTAGTAGCATGTAAAAACAGGTTCAATTGATTTATAGTCATGATTCAACTTTAAACTCATGGCACTTTCTTTGGAGAAGTTGCCTATCTTCTCCTTCACACTATGTTTAATTCAACTTTCATAAACTCATGGCTTAATGTTTTTATACTAATAACAATTGCCTCTATTGGATGATTGTGCATGTCGAACTGAGGCCAAAAAAAGAGAAACATATTGAATTGTAGTTAAGTTTCCACTCCCAAGATGATTGATAATAGTAATTAAATTGCAGAAAAAAATTCCATTGGAAGCTAAGTAAACACCATGAACAACTCCCGTTGCTTCTTTTCCTCAAGAGAAAATTAAGAAAAAAATAAAACTCAGAAATACCTGAACGAACTTCAGTCTCCTGTCTTTGAACTTTTGTCCTCTGAAAATATGTTTTTTCTATCTGCTTTCACTTCTTTTTAATTTCCAAATTATTCAAGTTTGTTTGAAGGGCTTAAAAATTTTGGTTTATCCTCCTCCATAGTTATTACCAATCTATTGCTACAAAAACTCAAATTGACAAAAATCACCCAGCCACTAGTTTAATTCCAAAATCAGACTACGTACTTGCCTCTCAAAGGAGCTGCTTGGACCAAAAGTTTACAAGAATTATGAACAACCTTGTGCCTTTATGATAATAAAGATTGGTCCTTAAGAAATAGGCGTAACTGAGATTATTTATATAACTAACTTTTCAACCAATTATCTTATAGTCTACTAAGTCAATTAAGAACACTAAATACATGGAACCAAAGTCTTTGCACCAGCTTGTTAAAGCAAAAAATTAAGACTTTTTTTCACAATTTACTCCTACCTGATTGCATACTCATTCATGCAAATATCCATATGCAAATTCACAATAATATTACCTTATAATATACTAACTCAATTAGGAACACTAAAAATAGGGAACTAAAGTTTCTAAAGCAACCTATGAAAATTGCATTTGACTGTTCAGAAATCTATTGATTCCATACCAACAATACTACATCTCTGGTGCAACTGTTATCAATGCTGTTCCTATATACAAAGTCATCTAATATCCCTACTCTTGGGCCCTTCATTACTCAACTTTGATTGAACGCTACCTCGAACCAATTCCTCCAATCCTTCCATGTCCTTTCATCTTTGACGACTTTTCTGATGCATGTAAACATGCAGAATCTGATATTACTTTGATAAGTAATTATTATAAAAAAAATATCTCTGCACAATTTTATCTAGTATTACATCCTTAGATGCTTTCGTCTCTAACTAACTACTTCAAACTATAGGTGTCAAGGCATTGGTCATATATGCTTTTCCTCAAAAAGAAACTACCCCATATTCAATCACAAGAGATTTTGTGATTGTAAATGAAGAGTTAGAAATTTCACTTTCCTCTATTACTTAACATATAAATTATTATTTAACATCATCTTTTTTATTGAGTCCTTTCTGTTCAAAGGAAAAAATTGATGCTTCTTACCCTATGGAATGAGTTCCAAGAATATGAAGACAACATTGATGAGCAATCCTAGGGGAAGACCCTCCTAGAACCTCCCAACTTTGTAATATCAGAGTTGGACCTTTTCTCCCAATTGAAATTGTACTCGATTGTTCTCATGAACTCAAGACCTCTGACACACGAAGGTAATCAGCAACCTTAAGCAAATAAAGATGGATGAAGAGACACCACGATTAGGGAACAAACTAATCGATAAAGTCTGATTTGAACCCTAAGCTATGAACTCAAGAATTCAAGAGTAAGTTCGATTAAGAACTTGAAGGAAATTCCTCACGATTTCTGGTTGTAATATTCCGCCCCTTATTTTGAAAGACAAGAAGCCTTATATAGGCGTGTAAAAGACCTAAACTAAGCTGCCAACAAAAACCTAATCCGACTTGGAATTTCCCTTGCTAAACTCGGCCCAAGCCCAAATGCAACTAGGAAAACCCTAATCAACTTAATACGAACAAATAACGTTGGTGCTTGACTAAAGCAAGCTTATGACCAACTAGCTAAGCTACTTTAAGGATTAAAACTAGAGGACAACATGTCCTTTGTGCGATTACTAAACTAGGCAGCTTTAAAACAACTACTAACTAAGCTAACAAGTATGAGATCATTCTTTCACTTCAAACGTACAAGTGAACAAGGTAACTTCATGGTCCACCAAATCTTCAAACTTAGCTTGCTCCTTGCTTGTATAGTGAATGATCAAGGCTTGTAAAGCTTCCTTCACCCTCTTGGATCTTGATCTTGTCATCAGACCACCAATGTTGACCAAAGGATCCTTGACCCAAGGTTGAAGTTGTTGCGCACCCGTATCCGCATCAAACATCCTTGCAAATATCATTGCAACTATTCCTATGATCTTTGCTAGGAGAGTGAAAGTCTCTATTTTCGACAGTAAGTCCCTTACTCTAAAAATTCATTATACACTCATTGCATATCACTCATATTTATTACACATAAAACTCTTAATTCTCTAGTTAAACAGGTCTATCATTAATAGAAATAGGACTGTCATGCATTCTCATCAATCCACCAATCCATGATGAATTGCCGCTTCGTGAATGGTATAGCATCCATAAAGATGAAGTTAAGACTTTATTGGAAACAAAAGCATATAAAGATCCAGAATTGTTGCTCCCACCACCAAATCAAGAGGATGTTAAGAGCATTCATGCTGCATTGATCTCATTCGGAACTGTAAGAAAAGTACAGTATTTTTCTAACTAATCAGCATTATCATTTTACACTTCAACTTTTGCAGAAAATTGAATAATAATACACTAGAGCTTCAATTCATTTGCAGTAAAAAATAGCATGGATAACTGGTACAATACAATTATCATTTGGCCAAACTTGTTTTTGGTACACTGCATGCTCAAATTGTTTGAAGATTGTTGAAACGGACACAGATTGGATCATAAAATGTTCATCATGCAAAGAAGAAGCTGAAGTGGAGCTAAGGTATTCTTTCCAATTTAATCTGTCTAAAAACAACTCTTTCATACTCTACATTCTGCAATAAGCTAAAACTCTCACGTTTCACCTAAGGTATCGCATTGGAATAACACTCACTGATTCAACTGCAAGCATTCAATGCTTAATATCTAGAAAACAAGCTGAAAGACTGATACAATTGACTACTGCCGAACTTAAGGATGTAGAGGCACATGTACAGCAGCACGCTTAACTTTCAAATCCTCCTTCAACATTTATATACAAAAATACTAATATATATAAACACTCACATTGATTCTTATGATCTCAGGGAATAACAATGAACCAAGAACTTTCTACCATCATGAAAAAGTACAAGCTAACCTATTTCATCAAAACATATGAGACAACTTTTCAAGGACAACTACAAAGAAGAAATGCAATCATCAATGCCTACACAAGAGTTGAAGTCCCAAACATACCACTGCCTCTACAAGATTTACCAATAACTCTGCAAGCTTCACAAACTGCAACACCATGAAACACTAAGCAAAAGCAGAACGCAGAAGAACAAATGTTCAGACCAACAGCCAAATTGCTCTCTCAATAAATAGCCGAATCCACTGCTACTAAAAGAAGCTCCATGACTGAATCAATAGCTACAAAAAGAGCCCTGACATTGACTAAACTAGAAGGTCACCAAATAGTTGCACCAACTGCTGGAACAAAGATGAACAAAACACTTGAAGACACTGCTAGCTCAGCTTCACCAAGTACCACTTCAATCGACAAAACTACTACCAACCTAACAAAGAAACCAAAACAACAAGAAGACGGGTATTGATCTCCCTCCAACTCTTACTAAAACCTTTTGATATTGCTAGAGAAGAATTTAGTTGATACGAACGTCGCCAACTTGTGACGAAACCCGCAAGAGACAAACGCACAGGATCTAGAGGGACCGAGCACGTTTGGAGTTGATGGAACCTTAACCCGTTAATCACGTAGCTAACAAACCTTGGTATAGTGTAGAAGACGCCACAATCTAGTGTGATTCTAGATTGATAAGTCAACTTGAAGATCCTAGGGAATTAATCTAAGAACTTCAAGAAAAGCTCACAAGAAGCCAATGAGAGAACTCTCAATTTTGTATTAAAATAAAATCTGCCAAACCTTACAAGTAATAGTCCTATTTATAATACTACTACTAAATGCTCGAAAATTCGAAGGAAATTAGGCCTCCAAGGGAGGTCCGTAGCCTATGCTAAGTTCGGCCAAGGTAGTGGGCCTCCAAAGGGCTTTCTACTCGGTCCTTTGCTCAACATGAGCTTTATTGATCTAAGCCAAAACTACTAATGAAATACTTAAACTCTAAATAGTTATATGATTAACCATGATACTCCAAAAGAGGGTCGTAGCCTTCAAACAAGGTCCTCTTCCTCGAGCAAGGCCTCTACCAAGGTGACCTGTCTTTCATCCTCACTTGCAAGGCCTTCTATGGGCCCAGGCCTCTCAACTTGGGCTTGGACAGCTTGAACTAGAAGTTGGAGCGCTTCCTTCATTTTCTTGGCATGTGCTCTAGTGACAGGGCCGAGAGGAACCTTCACTTGTTCTACTTGCATGGTTTGCTCACTATTCTCCTTCGCATCATTCCCCTCATCTTGAAAAGGATTTGCCCTCAAATTTGAGTCATCTTTTGCAAAAAAAGGACTAAGGTCAGTAACATTAAATATAGCACTTATAGCTCCAAACTCACCTAGGAGGTCCAACTTGTAAGCATTGTTGTTCACACGCTCAAGAACTTGGAAGGGACCGTCGCCTTGAGGGAGTAGCTTGCTTCGTCGTTGAACTGGAAACCTTTCCTTGTGAAGGTGCAACCAAACCCAATCACCAGGTTCAAAGATCATTTGGCGCCTTCCTTTGTTTGCTTGCTTTGCATATTGACTTGTGCGCTGCTCAATGTTGAGTCGCACTTTCTGTGACGCCCCGAAAAAAAATGAGTTTGAGAACCCGGAAATTTTCTACTTTTCTAGGGTTTATTTGTTTAACGCCCGCTTTTCTACATTTTCTTTATTCGAAAAATTCCCCAGATAAAGTTTATGAGCAAATATCGTTTTAAAATGATTTTTTTTCTAGTATTGGAGAGTTTTTGAGAATTACGAGTATATAACGGACGTGGGACCCACTAGTACGAAAAGTTCGGAAAATTCGGCCAATTAGGTTAAATTCCGGATACTGTGTAAAATGTATCGGGTGTTAATGGATAAGTAAAGGAGTGTGAGGTGATTGATGTGAGAGAGAAAAGAAAGGATAGGAATGCATTTATTGGAGTGCCACATGTCACCATGATATTGGTTAGGACTTAAGAGTTACTATTCATTTTTTTGACTATTTTGACTAAGTGGTTAATATCTTCAAAAAAATCACTAAAATTCACCATTTTTCACCTCTTGTTGGCCGGCCCTCTCAAGCTCAAAGAAGGAAGAAACTTCATCAATTTGCAAGCTTCCATTTGGTTCAATCTTCCAAAAACAAATACCTAAACTAGATTTCACTCCATAAAATTCCTCCCTTGGGTGCTAGTAAGTAGTTTAGTGAAGTTTGTTTGAAGACTTAAGGTGTCCAACATCTTCCTCTCTCTTGATTACTTGGTAAGTGGTATATGAACACCCTCCTATATCTAATGATGTTGAATTTATGCCTAATGGTGGCTATTGTGTTAGAAATTGTGGTTTATTTCTTGGTTTGAAGTGATTTGGTTAAGTTTTTATTTTTTTGTGGAATTTTCTAGTTTCATATGATCTTGATGGTGTGGTCATCTATGATGGTTGTTAATGAGGGGAAATGACTCTAGTAGATGTGAATTAGTGATAATTGCAATCAATTTTGGATTTGGAAGAATTTCTGGAAAATTAGGGTTCTTGGTTCTTCATTCTGTCCGAAATTTTAGGTCCTAGATGGAGGCCGAATTGGCCTTTTCTCAAAACATAAAAGTTGTAGGTATTGATGAGTTTGAAGTGCCTGCAAAATTTCAGGGAATTTGGAGTAGTGTAGAGTGAGTTATGCCGTTTTTACTGTTGCTGTTCTGGGTGATCAGAATGTGCGAACTGCACTTGTAATTGACTGTTTTGGCTGGGATTGGTTTGGATTTTGTTGTTGGTGTTTTCTGATGAAATGTAGCTTGATGTCCTAGCTACCATATGCCTTTGGAATTTCGGCATTTGGACCTGTATAGACTGAGATAGACGAATTACAGTTTTGTGTGATTTGGGAACCTGCAAATACGGTTCTGGGTTTGGTATTCTGCACTAATTCCTGACCATAGTTGTGCTAGGAATTATGGACTGAGTGCCTTCTACATTGTTGTAGCCCTGTTTTTAGGCTCTGAGACGGTGTATTACACCTAATCCGATATGGTGTGAATTTGTGCCATTACGCAAAATGACGTCCAAACTGTATTTTCCCTGGTATTGAGCTAAACTTTCATTTTCCGGACTTTTCCCTGCTTGACTTGTACTAGTACTACTTGGGCTTGCTGAAGGCTATTGGATGAACTTGTTGTTGTTGTGTGTACCTTTGGACTTGGATTTTGAAGGAAGTAATGACGGCCAGTGATCGGCTGGGAAAGTAAGAAGAGTTTAGGGGAAGTGCTGTCAACTTTGAAAAGGACTTTGTTTGCATTGAGTTGGTGATCGTAAGACTTGGATTGAGCAGGCAATGCTATATTGATTGGATGGTTTAGAGCCGTGGAGTGTGAGCTGACCTAACTATTTCAAAGTTGATTGTAGTAACCGTTTCTTAATTTTTACTCTTGACTGTTTCCAAAGTTACTTTTGAAATGTTTGTTGCATATCATGCGTGACTGCATGTGGAGTGTGCCTTGTTTGCTATATTTACTTGACCTCATGACTTGTATTTTGGTTGATACGGTTAAAGCGCTTATAATGATTTCCAAAACGAGTATTTGTCGGGACGAGTGTGTACACTTTAATCGACTCGACTCGATAAATGTGAAATTTCGATGATAATGTTACTTGCGCATGAATGTAAGCTTTTGGGCTGAACTGGCCATTTGCCCTTGTTACGGTCGTTTTTAGCCAGAAGCGGACTGTCAGTGCGATTAGGCGTAGGTGATACGTTTTTGTATCTCGAGTATTACTATTTAGGTTGTGAAGCCGCCAAAAGCCAGGGACGGGGTGAATGAAATGAAATAAATGATCAAATGAGCGAGGAAATGTCAGGAGAATGAATGTATCCTTTCATGAATGTTACTATCGCTTTCCATTGTAAATGTTTCTTGAATTATTGATAATCCATATTTACTGTTTTGCAAATGTTGTAGTTGTTTCTGGATTTATCATTTGATATATGACATCATTGAAATGGACTATTGTGAAACCGATTTGATTACTGATTTTAATGGTTACTCGCTGAGGTTTTAGCTCACCCCAAAAATATTTTATTCCCCCCCACAGGGCTCAAGGCGAAGAAAAGTTGGGAGTGCTTATTCACGTGACTGGATGGCTTATATCGTGTACAGTTTAAGTTTGGATCTATTTTGTGTACGAGTTGGTCTTGTATAAATATTTGAAATTGATATGGATGTAAGTATACGTTCCACGATTGGAATCAGTTTCCGCTGCATTTGAAATATGTAATCATTGGAGAATTTGATGAAATTTTGAGTTTTATATTGTAATTGGGTTGAGGACTGTAGTGAGCGACTGAGTCCCGGCGAGAGCTGGGCAGGCGGCCCGCCGAACCCTCTGGTTCGCCTTAGGGGGAGGTGGGGTCGTTACACTTTCTCATGTAGTGCCCTCACAAAATCAGCCTTTTTCTTTCCATCTAGATTGACACGCTCAGACAAAGGCAAAGGTGACAAATCTAAAGAAGTTAACGGGTTAAAACCATACACAACTTCAAAAGATGAGAATTGTGTAGCACTATGTACAGTTCGGTTATAGGCAAACTCAACATGGGGAAGACATTCCTCCCAAGACTTAATGTTCTTTTTAATGATAGCACGCAACAATGTAGATAAAGTGCGATTAACAACTTCTGTTTGGCCATCAGTTTGGGGGTGACTAGAAGTAGAGAATAACAGTTTAGTACCCAATTTTCCCCACAATGTCTTCCAGAAATAGCTAAGGAATTTAACATCCCTGTCAGAAACAATAGTTCTAGGCATGCCATGTAACCTAACTATCTCACGAAAGAACAAGTCAGCAATGTAAGATGCATTATCCGTTTTGTGACAAGTAATGAAATGAGCCATTTTAGAAAACCTGTCAACTACAACGAATATGCTATCATGTCCTTTCCTAGACCTAGGCAAGCCAAGTACAAAATCCATAGAAATATCTATCCAAGGTGTAGTAGGAATAGGTAAAGGGGTATACAACCCATATGGTTGAGTCTTAGACTTAGCTTTGTGGCACACGATGCATCGACCAACCACACGTTCCACATCTCTTCTCATCTTTGGCCAATAGAAATGTTCCTGCAAAACAGCCAAAGTCTTTGCAACACCAAAGTGTCCCATTAGGCCTCCTGAATGTGCTTCATGGACTAACAATAATCAAATGGAGGACTAAGGGATGCATAATTTATCAACTCGGAACAAGTAACCATCATGTATAAAGAAGTGATCCACCTTAGATTTTAAGCATTGTGCATAACATTTGTCGCGCCCCATTTTTTACAAGAAAAATAATTGAATTGAAAAGGTGAATTTTTTATTTACAAAGAAAATGAAGAAAAATATGGGTCTAAATGGGACTTGAAAATGCGACGATTTGACCCAAAATAATAGTTTAAAAAGGGTTTTTGAACAAAAATCGGAGTCGCCACTTGGTATTGAGTTAAGGTGTACCAAGTCACCTAAAATGTGTTTTTAAACGAAAAAAGTAGAAAAACCCCTTTTAAACGACTCCTAGTCCACGAAAATCAAAGGAAAGGTTCAGGAGTCACATTTGACGAAGGGGAAGGCAAGGATAAAAATCCAAGGCACCCCTTCGACCTAGCCAAGGCTAGTTGCGTGATTTAGTCAAGGATTTTCTTATTTTTTAACCAAAGAATTTATCACATTTGGATGCACTATATGAATGCAAAACCTAGACCTAGGGGGACATCGGGGGGCAAAATTTCTCTTCAAAGTTTGAATGGTGCCAATCACATTAATAGTGATGCCCAATAATGACTCTTTGGAGAGGTCACGAATAAGGCTAATGATGAAAAATGAGTGGAATGAATGTATGCAATTTGAAAATATGAGTTTGCGTGAAATGAAAAAGTAATAAAAAAACAATAATGCGTAAGTGGAAGTGTGCAAATGAATGTGCAAAGTAAGGTGAGCAAAGTGATAGTATGAAGTGCGTGTGTGCACGTGATAGTATATAAAGTGCTAGTGATAGAGTGAGAATGTGTAAGATAAACGTCTTGTGCAATATGAAATGCATGAGCCCTAGAGGAATGCAAGCAAGATGGGTATGGGGGGCCCTAAATCGTGACTTTTGATTTACCTTTTGGTTAGAAGGGAAAACTAGTGTGCTAAGGCTATGTGTAACCATACTCGCTCGTTTCCCTTACCAGAAGGGTGACTCCCTAACCTATACAAGCAAATTAGCTAATCTAAATGAAAATGTAATCCTAAATATGTAAGGTAAAGGGTCATGCAAAAATGTAAAACTAAAAGGAAAGAATGAATGAAGATGTAATGAATACATGCAAGTATGTGCTAGCGCGGGGACGGCTCTAATGGATCTAGCATTGGACTAGCCCTTCACTAACGCTTTTTCACAAGCATTGGACTTGCGAGAGTTCGAGGGGGAAGACCATGACTAGCATTGGACTAGCCACGGTGACGTACATTCATCTATATAAGCAAATATAAATAAAAGCAAGTAGACATGCAAGGCACGTATTTT